ATATGTTTGTTATTTTTAAGATAATGAAGACAATAAAAGACAAAAGTTATACTTTTTATATAATTATAGTATTGGTTTTAACAATTGTATTAATTTTTATCATATAATTTGATTATGTTTTCATTAAAAAATTATATATATTATAAATATTTTAATATTTCATAAAATACAAATATTATAATAAATATATGTAATTATATTTTGGACTATATTTACTTGGATATACTTTAAATTATAAAATCACATATTATAAATTATTATATTGAATATAACTTAAAATTAGTAATATTTGTATTTAGGATAAAAAGACAATTGTTAAATTTTGGTAAATATAAGGAATAATCATGTTTTTAAAGTGGTAAATATAATCTGAATTTGCAAATTCACCAAAATGCTCAACTTTAGTTATACACGACTTGAAAACGTGTTGAAAAGAAAAAAATTACGCAAAATGTTATTTAACTACTTTCTGTGTTTTATTGTGGTATGGATGTGATTATAAACATGATACCTCACTTATTTTATTAAAATGTATTCAGACTAATCTATATAAACAGACTCAATTTTATAAAAATAATTTTATTAGTTAATTTTATTAACTATTTTATTTTCTATATTACAAAATATGTTTAGATTATAAAAATTTTAATAAAACAATATATTTGAATTATGTAATATTTTTATTTTTTAAACAATTCTATATTATTTTTTAAAAATACTAAAATAGATTTGAAACTTTTTATATGATAAATATTATACAATAATAATAATTTTTATTGGTATATTTTTTTCTTTAATAAAATTACTATTAATATAATATTATTTTATTAATCTTTTATTATTTTATTATTATAAAACTGTATATTTATAATTTTAATTATTTAAATTAATATTTTATATAATTTAAGTAAATTTATTTTTTTAATTAGTAATAATAGTTAATTAATTATACTATTATATATCATTCTATTTTTATTAATCTAACGAAAACAGACTAATAGCTGTTTGGCGACTTTATAGTCCCTTTGAAAATCGCCGACTTTTCAGTGGTCTTAAAAGTCGCTGATTTAAATACTTAGTTAAATAACTATTCAAAATACCATTTATCATGTAAAAGATATTGAAAAAAATAAACCATATAAATTTAATATAATTATTATTAAAAAATTAAATGAAACAATGCCGTCCCAATTATATCTTCTCAAATCATTTTTTAAATTATATTTATATGATTATAATATAACAAATTATAACAACTATTGTGTTTTTACACATTTTGAGACTATAATTAATATAATATAATTTATTAAAGTTAATAGTTATTTAGTTCTAAAAGAAGTCAACGACTTTTGAAGGGACTCAAAAAGTCGCCGACTTCTCAGTATTATCAAAAGTCGCAGAACAGCCATAATTGTTTTATTAAAAACAGTTTTAAATAAAAAATTAAATTATGAAACATAGTAAAATATATAATAACTTTAATATATAATAATGAAAATTATATTGAAAAAATACTGCAAAAATTCAATCATTGACTAACCAAGGCTTTTATTTGTTATGCGTTATGGATAAATGGACTCGTTACATTTATCAAATTATGCAAGTTACGATTCTGTTTGTCGATTTGTTTTCTTTAAAACAAAAGAATGAATTAAACAACTTTAAATTGTGTTATATATCTTTTGGTTAGCCCATGGAATGTAAAACTCTTTATTATCAACAAAATAATATTTACAACTGTTCGATGTTTGAAAAATTAATCCAAAAAGCAATAATTTTTGAGTAATTTCATTTATCTATATTTTAAGAAAAGTATAGTTAATAACAAATTTTATTTTAATAAATTAAATTCTTATTTCATCATTATTAAACAATTTCTAATATTTTATAATATTATCAATTATAATTAATAGTTTTATTTGATATAGTATAAATATTATATTAATAAACTATTTATTTGTATACTATAAATTTTAATATTTTATAGTTTTGTTGTTAACTGTCGTTTTAAGTAGAAAAAACGACCGCGGCAAAAAGTCGCCATCTGTAAAGAAAAACTTTTGAAGATCGTAAAAACAAACAATACTATGAATTTTACTAAAACTACTTTATTTTTGGCATTAAAACAAAGAAAATATACCCCTTTTCATTTTAAAATGCATTTTTGGGACAAGTTCCAAATTTTTCCCTGTTCTGTGATAGACCCTGGCTGAATATACCCATTTGATACTTTTTTGTTCGAAGGGGTAATAAGTATTAAACTTCCTTTGTTTTAATATTAATAACTATTAGAACAGTATAAAGTTGTATTAATACAGAAGTGTTTTTTATCCAACCCGTATCAACAAAAGTTTTAAATTACAATGTTGATATTGGTGTAATTAAACATTTAAATTATGTCCGTTTTGTGATTATTATAATTAAAACAAATTGTTATAAAATTTCACAAATTATATTCAATGATCAAGAATTTGTTTTTAATCAACTTCTTTTATTTAACAGAAAAACAAATAGAGAATTATATTTATTGTAATACATCTGTTTTTAAATTAATACGTTTAAAATTGTGTTTGTATATTGACATCTTTGTTGTTTAAACAGTTTAAAATAATATAATCAAGAGCCAAAAAAATTCAACTGTAAAAATCCAACAATTAAATAAATATAGAATGAACATTTAATTATATACATTTATTTTCAATATATAACAGGTTAAACAAAAATATAATAAGTAATTTAAATATTTATTTTGTTATTTAAATCTAACTCAACACTTTTTAATAAAATATAAATATTTGGAATTTTTTCACAATAAAGTAGAAGATGCATTTTTTTAATTTGAAAAAAAAATTATATATTTTGTACATTTAAAACGAAACAAATATAAAATGATTGTCAATTGATAATTTAAAGTAATATATTTCAACGACTTCACATAGTCAATAATGTTTATAAATAAATACAAATTAATGAATTTTAATTTATAATAGAATTTAAATTACTTCTTATATTCCCAAATAAATATCTTATTTAAATATCATGTTAACTTACACGTAAGTAACTGTTTTGTGTTTACAAACAAAAAAATTATTTCAACTTATTTTAAACAAGTATAAGCTTATTTTTGTCGGATTGTTGATATTAAGCAGTTATCCTCCATTGAATTATTATTACTATGTATTTATTTAAACAGTTGTTGTTTTCACTTTTTTATTTAAAGTGTGAGCTAATTTTTTGGAACATAAGATATCAAATATATTAAAAACAATTTTTTTAAAATCACATGTTGATTAATTTCTTTGTTAAACCCAACATCTGTCGTTTACATGAAATCAAAAACATAATATGTTCACATGATAACTGTTACAGACTGATTCTGTAAATTATATTATAATAATAATACAAATCAAATTAACACGAAGTTATTTAATTGATAATAGTTAAAATTTATCAAATAAAAAATAGTTGTTTATATAATTGTTATGGGTTTAAAGAAAATTAATCAGAATTACTAGCTTAACAAAATAAAAACGTTCACATTTCATTGATATTTACAATCAAATTTAAAACTAAAAAATGAATGTCTATTTAAATTATTTTTAATTTCAGCAATGTAATAATAATGATTTATCTAAATAATTATTAAATTTGATTATGAATTATTTATTATTTGAAATTTTTTTATTATGTTTTATTTAAAATAATACATTTAATATCATTATTGTAACATTTAAAATGCAAACAAACAAACTTCTTTGTTTTTATTGTGTAACCAAGTTGTTTCAACATTTATTGTTTAAAATAACATAGTTTTTGTTAAAATGCTACCATTTAAATATTAAACAATTTTAATTATAATGTTACCTTTTTTACCAAAATAATTAATTAAATATTATTTTTAATACAGTAAAATTTCCCAAGAGCGGTACCTCTGATAAGTGGGTTCTTTCAAGAAAGGGCATTTTAAGATTGAAACCAAAAATATAGTTCTTTATCGAAAGGTTTTTAAAGTTTGATTGGCTAAAAATGCCTGCTCTTGAGAGAACAAGTATACCACACTTTCCCATTCTTGAGAAGTTTTACTTTATATAGATATCAGAATGTTAAAAAATATAATTTATTTGAATGTTTGTTTAAATTAATATAAGATGATATTTTATACAATTCACTATAAACTGTTATGCAAAAAGACGTAATACAAATTTAAGAATGTATCATTAAAGGTGTTTAGACATGCACAACAAACCAATGTTTAAAATTGTCAATTTTTAAATTTTTTTGATTGAATTTTATATAATAATTAATTACTATTTTTGATATTTAAAATAAAATAAATAATTAAAAAGCAAAATACAAACATATACAGTTATAAATTTTATTTTTTGAAATTATAAAAAGAATGATTTGACATCATAATTTATAATACTTAATAATGCTATTAAATGTTTCTTGAATATATTTTT